AAATACATTCAACAAAAGGGAGACGTTTCGAGTGATTTCGCTCAGTGCGATGCATCTTGACCTCAATTTGTGCAACACAATGACCATTACACTAAATTAATAGGGAGATCAATAGTGTATTTATTTGTTTGTTTGTTTTAACTAGTAAAGCTACCGTGATGTTCTTAGCATGACAAATAGCTCCTCCGTCCCCAATTCATCCGCCCAACTTGACAAGCCCACGGGGTGTAGAATGCGAATTTCCCATTCCAAAAGATGGCTACACAAATTCAGAATTTAGAGATTAATCGAGAACAATATTTAAGAGAGGTAACCAGCTGAGCACTGGAATAATTAAATCAGATTTGGCTTCCAGCAATAGATGAGAAAGTATACTTTTAATGTTATGATGCCAGATGATTAGGGCTCTTCACGATCCGATTCTGAGTTGATCTAGGGTCTGCTCGAAATCGACTAGTGCGGCTTGAAAGTGGCTCTTGGCTGATTATATTCGATTACCAGCTGAGCAAGCTCGTAATCGAGCTCAATCTGATTTGAAATCTAAACAAGCCAGCTCAAACTGAGTTATTTGGATCCGTTTCAACTCGGGATCGCTGGATTTGCTCAAAATTGAAGCTAAATGGCTCAAATTGAGTTATTTTGATCCACAATCTAATATTCAATTTTATTTTTGGCTCATAGCTCTGCTCGTTTATTTCGATCCGAGCCAAAATTTAAATCGATTTTTTAGCGATTAACTATCTTAGAGCCAAATTCACCACCCTACAGATGATCTGATGGAGAATCTTATGATAAAAATGGACGTATTTTAAGCTATGCCATCTGGAGAACATAGTAATTTAGTCTGCAGCTTTACTGTTGACATAAATAACAAACCAGGGAGAAGACGAGCGACCAGCAAATCTTGGCTTTACGTTAGAACAATGATGAAGAAATTCTTAACATAGCAAGACTCAACCAGTTATCCACTGCAGCATTCACTACTACTGAGATTTCTCAACTGCTTCAATGTTTGGTCTTCTCTGCCTCAACATCGCTGCAGCACTTTCACCAGGTAATCTCGCATGCTTATTTGATCCCTCCACTAACTTTGGGAATCAAATTGTCTAACAAATACAACAACTTTTATTCTTAGTTTTCTTCTAATTCAAATTATAGTTTATCTGAATTTAATTCAATCATCTAGTGCACTTAAAATGAGGTTCTACGTTCCGATGAAATTAGATATAAGCCAAGAAAAAGGGCCAACCAAAAAAGCAGTCTCGCATGATTATTTTGATCCCCTGGACTCAAATTGTCTAAAAAATACAACTTTTGTTTTTAGTTGTCTTTTGGAGATTATATGTGATAACTATGTCTCTAAGTATTGGTTCTGATCATGGGACTTACTGGTATACGATTAATAGACCTACTGGTAAGCAAACAGATGTTTCTTTAGAGAAGTAACATCAAAATTAAGAAAACAAAACAAGAGCTATCGATGAATCAGCTCCATCCAGGCTACACAAGTATCGATATGAGTGAACCGAGCTACCGAGTCAAAAGCAGAGATTGAGATCTGTCCAAAATAATGTTCCGACCACAGAAGCCAAGCAGGAGCAAACAAAATTAATAAATATGCCATTGCTCCCAAAAAAAAAAAGGCAATAGAAAAAGCAAAGATTCAATTCTGGACCAATATGCAGTCCGGGTGATTCAAGAATTCTTACATAAAAGCCATTAGATCATAAAATATTTTATAATTTTACTGTTTGTTGATAAATTTTTGCCTTTTGAATCTTTTTGTCATGATGTCATTGACCCTTATGTAACCAATTTTCCATTAAGAACTAGAACACCTGTGTGCCTTTCTGATAACTTTGCCCACATCTGGCCTCAAAAAAGCATGCTGCTATTGCAATAGCAGCAGTACAACTTTTCATGACCTCTTCTATGGCAGTACTTGAAATGTAAAAATTATTCCATGCGGACGGGACAATCTCCACCGTTGATCAAAACTTTTATCAATTTTTTTTTAAAATGGGCCTATAACAGTGGAGATCCGACGGCCGTCCATATGGAATAATTTTTCCTTGAAATGGCGGCAACAAATGCAGTTGCAGTAAACAATAAAAGCAAAGAGGGAAGCAACAGACACAATGCGGATATTAGTGGAATATAATAAAAATAATTACTTTTAAAAGTTGAGTTTTAATGATAATTAAATTAGAAATTAATGATTATAATATATTAGAATTCTTGCACTAACGATAAAATGCTCAAAGGCCTAAGGCTTCCCCATACACAGAAACACAGACTAGGAAAAGGATGGGAGTCATCCAGAGAACTTTTATTAACCCGAGAAAAATTTGCGTACGTACGCAGCGTTGCGTACATCAACGCAGCGTTGCGTACATCAGGGAGGTTATTCAGAAGATATTAGGGGGTTATATCCGCGTTATACCCTCTGTAGCCTACCTGTACCTCTAGTAAGTTTCAAACTTCTGTTTTCATATATTTGTAGGTTACAGATAGGTTACAAGTATGTTGCATGGAGGTTACAGGGGGTATAACGCAGATATAACCCACCAATACCCTCTGAATAACCTCCCTGACGTATGCAGCGCTGCGTACGTCTTACGTACGCAAATTTTTTTCCATTAACCCAACAACAATCCGGGCGTTTATAACGCTCTTGGCAGCCTTAATAAATTATGTAGGAAGGTCCAAGTCACAATATATAAAAAGGGGCATTTACATACCAATCAATTCCTATATATTTATCTAACACCCAAATTTTAATTTTTACTTTTGATACCAACCAAATCATTCATTTCACAAAAATAATATCACCATTTTAACTTTTAAGAAGTGAAATACATCTTTTTGCGCACGGGTAAGGTTGCATGCACGTAAAAATTAAAGTTTAGGTGTTAAATATATAGATATATACCAATTGAGTGTGTATACACCAATATGGCTATATACATAAAAAAAAAAAATTTATAAGGAGTCTGACATAGAAGCCAACGAGTCATTTGAACTTAGCTCACCTTTAGAAGTGGCTGAGCAGAGCACACCTGCCGAAATAACTGAGCTGAGCCTATCGGCGGAAGTGGTTGAACTAAAAGCCTACTTGCCAAAGCCCAAAGCACCTTGTTTATCTCCGATAGGGTCAACCTAGCCCATTTAGGGACGCAAGTCCATCTTCTTTAAAAGTATTGACTGACAGTCACATCACAGTTTTTAACTAAAACACCACCAATGAGTGAAGTAATGCACAAAATGTCTTTTTTATTTTATTCTCGTTTATGTATAAAAGGTAAGTCAATAGAGAAGAGGAAGGGAAGCTTGGCACCGGAATAAACCCGGGATCTTCCCGACACACACACACACACTCTCTCTCTCTCTCTCTCGAGGATACATTGTAATCCAAGAAGCCTCATCCCAGACATTATTGTCGGCTTACCGGAGGTTCAAGCTCAAACGAAACAACAGAGACACTATCTCAAACATGACATTCAGCTCTTTCTTCCACCTTCCATCTAAAACTGAGATTTTTACCGAGTTGTATGTACTCACAAATCATACGGGACACTGCGTCCTAAAAGGATTCAAGATAGTGGCATAAATGTAAATCTTCCTAAGAAAAAAAATAATGGGTCATCACATGCATAGCACACAATTCTATTGTATTGACATATCTAACATCTAAACATTTATATTTGCATGAATACCACTAAAATCTTTAACACCACAGAGAAAATAACACCACCACTATTTTTTAAAAGTAAAATACAACTTTTCAGGGATAGGTTTATGACACCTAACTTTTCACAAGTGTAATGATTGGAAAAAAAATTAGTGAGAAGTAGGGGAGCTTTTGGTACAAGTGCAAGCGATTGTGATTCAAGCTTTGAAGTCAAAGGGCCAATGATTTTAAGTAGCAAATGGTGTTCTACGCAATAAGAAAAAGCAGAAACATTTTGGATGCTATAGGATAGCTAAGTGGCAAAGATGGTCTCTAGTCACAAGAGAGAATGAGTGCGCGAAGGAATAACAGAGAGTTTGCGCAGCTTGGGTTTTCAAATTGCTCTATGAAAGAGTAGCTTACAATAGCTTTTATCTATCTATCTATCTATCTATCTATCTATCTATATATAAATAGCTTTTACTCTGTGTGTGTGTGTGTGTGGAAGGTTCTCTCTCTCTCTCTCTCTCTCCTCTCTCTCTCTCTTCTCTCTCTCTCTCTCTCTCTCTCTCTCTCTCTCTCTCTCTCTCTCTCTCTGTGTGTGTGTGCGCGCGCGCGCGCGTGTGCGGGGGTTGGCAAGGAAACGAAGTTCGATTAGAAAAATGGGTCAAGAATAAGTCAATTTAAGTATCAACCCTAAACTGGTTAAATTTTCAAGTTAGTTCATCACTCCACTTCCAATCTAATAAGAATGAGTGTTTCCTACGAAAAAATAAATAACAAAATATCTAAGCAATTAAGCTATACAACAACTGACAATAAAAAACTTACCATGTAATGTATCATTTTCAAAAAACAATGCTCCGATGAGCTCAGCTAGTTTTAAAAGAAGGTTGACAAAAAAAGCCATTTAACATGTAGTATATCATTTTCGAAAATTCAATTGTGGAGTGAGTGGAATCCAGAAAATAAGATATTAATAAATAATTATAAAGAACTGTCCGGTGAGATATTTAAGTTGAATTTAACTTAAATCTTGCCAAATAGAAAAAATAACAAAGTTTGAATCCTGGATTTAATAAACGCACTTTCTTTTCAATTTCTTCTCAGTTTTGCATTAAATTCCGGATATACTAAATCCTAGTGTTGTCTTAAATCCATTACCAAACAACTCTTAAGAAAAACAACCACTTCAATGGCATGCTCTTTGTGCCAATTGTACTCACAAGTCATTATAAGCCACCAAAACATAGATACAATAAAACATGCAAGTCATAATATGTGATAAATAACGAAATTCATTTTCTATACTAGATGCGTGGATCATATATAACCATTAAACATTGAAACACTTTCAAAATCTACATCAAATGTATTAGTCGCGAAACTGTACATGCAAACTCATTGACTCCCACAACAGAAAATCAAGCATTCAAGTGCAAAGGTGTAACAGAACTAGTTGTATGTGAGCAATCAAAATGGTATTCAATTAATACCTCCGCAAATAGCATGAAACTAACTAGAATCAGAAGGAAAAAAAAAACTCTCTTTCCCAACGGCAACTTCATACACTCAGTCATCAGAGCCTGTCAATACACCGTTCCAACTCTTCCCTTCCAAATCTCCTACCCCGTGATTCCCAATCCTTTCTTCGTGCCTCCAAGTACACAACCAACCACACCACCATGAAATAAACCTCAAAAACTGCCTGAATCCACCTGGCAAATCTTCTTCCAGCAAAAGTGGAAAAAAACAGCCTCCCCAACCCTCCACTCAAGACCATCTCCAAGCAATTTATCCATAGAAACTCTTTCCTCACTAAGGTCACCAGAAAGACTCCTTCTTTCACCACTTCCTGCCCTGTCCTTCTAATATCATCCACAACAACAATCCAAGGCACCAAAACGAGAAACATGGAAACCACTAAGTCCAAAAGCCCCCACACAAACAGAAACCCAGATAGCTCAGCAACTTCATTACCTGATAATAAGGTTAAGGAGAAGGGCATGAGCTTGACCTTGACGAAGAGCTTGAAAAGCTTGTTCTGGTCCTCGATGTTGACAAAAAAAAAGATGCACAGGAGCTGAACCAGCGCGTCCCTGATTGCCCACTTCAAGAAGACGAACCCTACGAGGCGCCGAACTCCTAATCTCGCCCCACACCAGAGGGCGTGGATGAAAGACGGTATGGGCCGGGAAAGCATGTTACAGGTAACGCTATAGAAAACAACACCAAAAGCAGTGGCATAGTAGAGGATAAATCCAATAATAGCTATGGCATGCGCGGAGGAGAGGAGGGAAACAAGATGAACAAGCTGAACTCCGTCCTTGCCTAACGAGAAGCCTTTAGCTGCCCGATCGGCGTCTTCTTGAGAGGAGTTCTCCGAATCCGATATTGAAAATAGGATGCGGGAGGGCGGGTCAAGTGGGTACTTAGGCCGAACCCCAACCCTAGCCACAGCAGTAGAATTTAGAGACAGGTACACATAGATCGGAGAAGCAAAAGATGAGTTGGAAAAGGAACGGCGGCCAATCGACGGAGAGGATGAGAAAAAGTCATCAGCTAGTGGCACGGCGGGAGAGAGGTGGAAGAAGCGAGGGGTTTTCGGGGAGGATGAAGTGGGCGAAGAAGATGAAGATGAAGATGGAGTGGAGAGACGGGATAGGAGTGATCGGAGTAGTGGATCGGTATCGGGGAGGGAGGACAGGCGTAGGGTTCCGGCAAGTAAGGCGGAGCGGAGCGAAAGCAGAAGAAGGGATACCAATAGAAGAGCGGGAAGGGAAGAGAAGAATGATACCATGGATTGACGGAGGATGGCCGTCAAAGAAGACGGCGATGGAGACCGCACCCCGCCCGCCCCCCGGCGGCATCGGCGGCGGCGTCGGGGCCGGCCATGGCTGACGACTTGAAGAAGTATTCTCCGTCCGATTCTTCCTTCCACTCGCGCGGATTTGGACTCGCAGTCTATCTCGATAAACTCTTAAGCGCTTAAAAACAACTAATCGATAATTACGGGATAAGCTCTAAGTTTTGAACTACTAAGCACCTCTTAAGGCCTAATTATGAATTGTTTCGTTCATATTATATTCCTCTTTGTTGTCTTCATGGCTGTGAGTATTGTTTCTGTTATATTTCACTATAATTTAATTGTACAAGTCCGATATATTAAGAACCAACACACATGTAAGTAGTGTATCATTTTTCAATATTTAAATATGACAAAGTTTAAACATATTGTAAGCAAAATCTCTAACCTAATATAACTAGAAAATACAGCACACATGAACTTATAAGTAAGGAACTTGGCAAGCACGATTTTACTAAACTTATAATCTTGTCTGAATATGGGTGCCAGGACCAGGTAAAACCCATATAGCGTAGTAAAACTATGCATGTCCGGTCTAGTGAAATGCAAAATGGGGTAGAATGTTATTTATTAGAAAGATTAAGTATGTTTTACAAGTTTATTATGAAAATCAAGATGTTAAATATGAATGTTATGAAAAAAAAAATTGTCTATAATTGATGCAAAATAGTTTTTTTTTTTACAATTTCAAATTTAAAATTTTATCATGTTTAAACTAGATGATTTTTATTTAGTTTATCTTTTAGCATGGAGTGACAATCAAACTGTGTAAGTGTATGAAATGTTTGATAACGTATGTATAGAATATCAATTTTAAGGTTAAGTCGGATATGGAAAGCACACTCAATCTATAAGGGCAGCGATCCTCACTTGTCAGATCCCTCATTTTTATGCAATAAGTGAGGGCCTGAAGCAAGGGAAAAAATAAATATGCTTGTGTATGTCTAAGGGTGATATTTTCGTGTACAATCCAAAATCTGGAGTTACTAATCACTTTTATTTTTATTTCATTTTGTTGTCAATATGTCACAATATTTTTTAGGTTTGAATGCAATTATTTATTTTGTTTTAAATATGAGTTTAGATTTTGAAAAATTAAATTTTGAGTTATTTTAAATGGGGTAGCAAAATTAGTCCTCGAGAACCTACCAAAAGCAATCTAGGCTACAAATAAGCACAAGGCCAATAAATCTAGAAAAAGGTGATGAATTACAAGTGAGCATAAACAAAGTAAGCACACTTATAACCAAAAGCCCTATTAGTACAAGTCAAACAAATCAATTAAAAAAGCACAGTAGTATATCATCGTTAATCACAAAAAAATAGAAGTGGATAAAATATCCTAGACTTAAGGCCGACTCATCAGTTGCCTTAGATTTTCTAGACTTCTTCAATCCGCGTTCCGGTAGATTGAGGACCATCCTATTAGAAACGGTGGAGCCCGGCCCACTATGCTTTGGTGGTTACTTTGCTCTGGACAGTCACACCTCTTCACAAATAACCTCTCCCGTCTTTCTCTTTTGTGAAGTGAAGCATCTCTTCGCTCTCATTTGTTCGTGATACAAGCTTCGGATGCTCTCCTTGGGTTCAGAAGTGATGCTTTGAGTTCTTCTTCGGTTTCCTCGAGATAGAGGAAGGTTTCCTCGGGGCAGCGGAAGAGAAGTGCAAGATGGAGCAATTCCTTGCGGAAGAAGGCAGAAGGAAGAAGAAGAAGATTGTTCTTCTTATGCTTCTTCTTGGTGGCTTGTGGAAGAAGAGAAATTGGGTTTATTTTTCTTGTAAGTTTGTCTTCTTCAATGTATCTCGGTATAGAGAGATAAGAATAGAGAGAGAAGAAAAGAGAGAGCAACGAAGAGTGAGATATTCCTCTTGTAAGTTGAGGTGTAAGTTTGGTGTAAATTCCTTAAGTAGTAAAATCCTCTACAACAGTAGTAAAATCCTCTACAACTA